TTCCCTTTCATCTTCTCCTTTCCCTCTTCCGTCTTCCCAAGCCACAGAAAGCCTCTCTTGAGACAGCCAAGGATTCTGGCGACGGGGATTGGAGGGTGGGGGGAGAGGGAGGGGAAGGGAAAGGGAGGGGGAGGGGGAGTGGAGGGTGGGGGAAGGGGGTGGGGAGAAGGGAGAGGGAAGGGAAGGGGTGGGGGAAGGGGAGGGGAAGGGGGTGGTGAGAAGGAAGATGGAAGGAAGAGAGACGGAAAGGGATGGAATGAAAGGAGAGGAAGAGGAAGGGGAAAGAAAAGGGAAAGGGAGAAGGGATGCGGGGAAGAGAGAATAGTAAGGGTGGGGGGAGGGGTGGGAGAAAGGAGCGGAAGGAATGGGGGGGGGGGAAGGGGAGAGCAAAAGAGGGGGGAAGGGGAAAACAGGGATGTGGGTAAAAAGGCGGGGAAGAGAGGGTGAAAGGGAGAGTAGAAGTGGAAAAAAAGGTGGAGGAGGAAAGAAAGGAAGAAAAGTAAAGAAAAAGAGAGAGAGAGAGAGAGAGAGAGAGAGAGAGAGAGAGAGAGAGAGAGAGAGAGAGAGAGAGAGAGAGAGAGAGAGAGAGAGGAGAGAGAGAGAGAGAGAGGAGAGAGAGAGAGAAGAGACAGAGACAGAGATAGAGACAGAGAGAAAAGAATAAGAAATAAATAAATAAAATGAGAAGAGCAGAGAGAGATAGAAAAATAAAAAATAAACATTAACCAAAAAATATGGAAGAGCTGATAGAAACTAGAGAAAACAACAGAGAGAAGAGGAGAAGGCGAAAGGAGAGAGAGATAGGGAAAGGGGTAGGGGGAGGGTGCGGGGGTGGGGGTGGGGGGCAAAGCACCAAGGAGAACAGAGGCGGTGATGACAGGACGCTAATGAGACTGAAGTGGTGAGGAGATGACCTAGATGAGGGCGGGGAGGGGCTTGCCACTGGCGGATGCTGTGCGCAGAGGGAGACGCGGGAGGAGGAGGAGGAGAGAGGAGATCTAGGGAGAGGAGGAGGAGGAGAGAGTAGGGAGATGAGGAGGAGGAGGAGGAGATGTAGGAGAGAGGAGGAGGAGGAGGAGGAGGAGATGTAGGGAGAGGAGGTGGAGGAGGGAGAGAGGGAGAGGAGGAGGAGGAGGAGGAGTGTAGGGAGAGGAGGTGGAGTAGAGATGTAGGGAGAGGAGGAGGAGAGGAGGAGGAGAGGAGGAGGAGAGGGAGGAGGAGGAGGAGATGTTAGGGGGAGGAGGTGGAGGAGGAGATTTAGGGAGAGGAGGAGGAGGAGGAGATGTAGGGAGAGGAGGAGGAGGAGGAGGAGGAGGAGGAGATGTAGGGGGAGGAGTGGAGGAGGAGAGTAGGGAAGGGAGGAGGAGGAGGGGAGGAGGAGGAGATCTAGGGAGAGGAGGAGGAGAAGGAGATGTAGGGGAGGGAGGAGGAGGAGGGGAGATAGGGAGAGGAGGAGGAGGAGGAAGAGTAGGAGAGGAGGAGGAGATGTAGGGAGAGGAGGAGGAGGAAGAGATGTAGGGAGAGGAGGAGGAGGAGGAGGAGGAGATCTAGGGAGAGGAGGAGGAGGAGGAGGAGGAGATGAAGGAGAGGGAGGAGGAGATGTAGGGAGAGGAGGAGGGAAGATGTAGGGGAGGAGGAGGAGGAAAGAGATGTAGGGAGAGGAGGAAGAGGAGGATAAAGATCTAGGGAGAGGAAAAGGAGGAGGAGATGTAGTGAGAAGGAGGAGGAGATGTAGGAGAGGAGGGAGGAGGAGATGTAGGGAGAGGAGGAGGGGGAGGAGGAGGAGATGTAGGGAGAGGAGGAGGAGATGTAGGGAGAGGAGGAGGAGGAAGAGATGTAGGGAGAGGAGGAGGAGGAGGAGGAGATCTAGGGAGAGGAAAGGAGGGAGGAGATGTAGTGAGAGGAGGAGGAGATTGTAGGGGAGGAGGAGGAGGAAGAGATGTAGGAGAGGAGGTGGAGGAGGAGATGTAAGGGAGGAGGAGGAGGAGGAGGAGGAGGACGAGATGGTAGGGAGAGGAGGAGGAGGAGGAGGAGCATGTAGGAGAGGAGGTGGAGGAGGAGATGGTAGGGAGAGGAAGGATGAGGAGGAGGAAGAGGAAGATGTAGGGAGAGGAGGTGAGTAGGAGATGAGGAAGAGGTGGAGGGGAGATGTAGGAGAGGAGGAGGAGGAGTAGGGAGATCAGGTGAGAGGGAGGAGGAGATGTAGGGAGAGGAGGTGGAGGAGGAGGGAGATGTAGGGAAGAGGAGGAGAGGAGGAGGAGGAGGAGATCTAGGGAGGAGAGGAGGAGATGTAGGAAGAGGAGGTGGAGGAGGAGACGTAGGGAGAGGAGGAGGGGAAGGGAGAGGAGATCAGGAGGGAGAGAGAGATGTAGGGAGAGGAGGAGGGAGGAGGAAGATGCTAGGGAGAGGAGGAGGAGGAGGAGGAGGGAGTGAGATCTTAGGGAAGAGGGAGGAGATGTAGGGAGAGGTCAGGAGGCGCGCAGCAGACTCGCTAGGCGAGAGTTGACGTGCGAGGAGGGAGATGTACGGGAACGAGGGTGGGCAGTAGGAGATGTAGAGGAGAGGGAAGCGAGCGAGGAGGCAGATGTAGGGGACGACGGAAGGAGCGCGGGAGGAGGAGGAGGAGATCAGCGAGAGGGGCGTGCGGCGCTGAGGAGAGGAGTGGAGGCCTCGACGGAGGACGACATTGCTCGGAGAGGAGCGGGAGGAGGAGGAGGAGGAGGAGGGAGGAGTGCAGGAGACTCAGGGACCGAGGGGGAGGAGATTGTTTAGGGAGAGCGCGCGCATGCGAGCCGCGCCGTATGAGCGAGGAGGAGATCTAGGGACGAGGGGGAGGAGTTTGTTAAGGCGAGAGGTGAGGAGGAGGAACTGTAGAGGAGCAGAGGAGGAGCGAGAGGAGTGGAGATCTAGGGAGAGAAGGGAGGAGATGTAGGGAGAGGAGGAGGAGGAAAGGAGATGTAGGAGAGGCAGGAGAGGATTGATGTAGGAGAGAGGGAAGGAGGAGAGGAGGAGGAGGAGGAGGAGGAGGAGATCTAGGCGATGAGGAGGAGGAGATGTAGGGAGAGGAGGTGGAGTAGGAGATGTAGGGAGAGGAGGTGGAGAGAGGGAAGATGTAGGGAGAGGAGGAGGAGGAGGAGGTAGGAGGATCTAGGGAGAGGAGANTTATGTAGGAGGAGGAGGAGGAGGAGGAGATGTAGCTCAGGGGAGGAGGTGAGGAGGGAGATTTAGGAGAGGAGGAGGAGGAGGAGGAGGAGGAGAGATGTAGGGAGAGTAGAGGTGGAGTATGGAGATGTTAGGGAGAGGAGGTGGAGGAGGAGATGGTAGGGAGAGGAGGAGGAGAGGAGATGTAGGGAGAGGAGGAGGAGGTGGAGGAGGAGGAGATGTATGGGAGAGGAGGAGAGAGGAGATGTAGGGAGGAGGAGGAGGAGGAGGAGGAGAGGGGGAGAGGAGGGAGAGGAGGAGGCGATGTACGGAGCGGGAAATGGAGAGAGGAGGAGGAGATTAGGGAGAGGAGGCGGAGGAGGAGGAGGAGATGTAGGGAGAGGAGTGCGGAGGAGGAGTGAGGGAAATGTAGGAGAGGAGGAGGAGGAGGAGGAGGTGAGTTGGAGTGTGAAGGTTGGAGGAGGGAGGAGGAGGAGAGAATGTAGGAGAGGAGGCGGAGGAGCGAGAGGAAATGAGGGAGAGGAGGAGGAGGAGGAGGTTAGAGTTGAGTGAAGGTGGAGAGGGAGGAGGAGGGTGGAGATGGTGGAGGAAATAGAGAAGGAGAAATAGGAGAGGAGGAGGAGAAGAAGGGGGAGGGAGACTGTGACTATGACAGTGACAATGGCAATGATATTGGTAATGATGATGAGGAGTAGGAAAAGAAAGAAAAGAGATGGTGCACCGGAGGAAAGGAAGAGGAGGAGGAGGAAAAGAAGAAGAAGAAGAAGAAGAAAGAAACAAAACAAGAAGAACAAGAACAAGAAGAAAGAGAAGCAAGAAGAAGAAAGGAGGAGGAGGAGAAGGAAGAGGAGGAGAATAATCGTCAACATCAGCAGCAGCAGGAGGAGGAACAGGCAGAGGAGGAGCATCAGCAGGGGGGCGGAGAGAGGCATCCAAGCATCGCGATCAGCCACAGGGAATGCGTTGTCGGGAAATCGAATATTCAGCACCTTAGCCGCGAGATGTTAATGATGGCGGTAATGATAGAGACAGTAATAAAGGCGATATATAAGAACAAAAATACTATCCTTATTTGTATCTAAGGAAGAAGATTATAACTATAAGAAATGATTAACGAATAATATACAACAGGAACGATCTCAGTCATATGAACGATGAAATGATACAAGGGATAATAATAAGAAAATAAAATATGAACATGAATAACTTTAATGATAACAATTACGATACTGTCAATATTGATGATAATAGGGTTGATGATGATGACGAAAACAAGGATAACAGCTTCAGAACGAATGACCCTTATTCTAGGGATGATTAAAGAACGAAATAACAGACTTTATCAAATAGAAGAAAAACAAACACGGAAAGCAATAACAAAATATGAAAAAGACGAAAAGGAAAAAAGGAAAGCAGTAACAAAATACGAAGAGCAATTAAAAAACGGTCAAACAAAAGCAATAGCAACAAAAGAAGAAAAACAATAACAGCAACAACAACAAAAGACTAAATCAATAGCAAAAAACAAAAACAAGAAAGAAAAAACTAAGAGTAATAACATAAGACGAAAAAGAAACAAAAATGAAAAACAAGAACAATAACATACGACGAAAAAATAACAAAACGAAAAAAAAGAAAAAAGACAAAAGCAATAACGACCAAAAAACGAGACAAAAAAACAACAACAACAACAGCAGAAAAATCCCTTCCGCTCACCCTCCTTTCAAAGCCCCGTAAATCCAACCCACCACTATTTACAACCCCCGTCGCGTATTCACCCGTAAGAGCGAAAAGCCCATTCAAAAAGTGATGAAACCAGGCCCTTAAAGGCAACGAACCTTATCGGAGAAGGCGCAGTACAGGATGAAGTTTGCGGCGGCGTTCAGGGCGTTGAGGAAGTTGAAGATGTGCGAGGCCT